TATCTGCCCCCCCCTTTTAACTTTCCTACCCCCCCCCCCAGCAGCGTCTCCATGGGAAAGCTTTGGCTGAATTGCATGGTGGAAAACACTCAAGGACTTGTGGGAGGCACTTCACTTTCCCCTGTATTACCTCCTCCCTCCCACTATTTAGGAAAACAATGTAGCTGATATCATTCTCCGCTCCTCCAGATTATCCTTACAGTTACCCTGTGAGACAGGTAGGTTGAATATGTGTGACTGGTCCAAGGGCACCCAGTGACTTTCTACAACAGAATGGGGATTCGAACCTGGATCTCCCAGATCCCAGTCTGAAACTCTAACCACTATACCTCACTGGCTTTTGTGTGGCAGCTGCTGTTGAACAGCAGTGAGCAGCTGGGCCTGGGTGAGTCATACAAATTGACAAATGATTTGCTGTCAGCCTGGCCCGGCCAAATTCTCTCTCAAAATCTAAAACAGGCTCTGCCCCTTTGCCCTGCCTTTTCCTGATGGAAACCAAGGCTTGAAGGATGGCAGTATTATTGTGGTTGCTTAGTAATGGCTACTTAAGGCATTTGTTTCTGAAAGGTATAGGCACTGCTTTCTTCATTTTGTGGGGTTTTAACCCCCAATTTCTTTTGGTGAGATTTCATATTCTTCTGCAAACCTGAGGCTTTTTCTTCTTTTCATACAAAGATTCGTAGAAAGTACCCACAGATGGGGCCATGTTGAGATTAGTTATACTGATATCAACCAGTCATCATGGACTCCAGAAGGATACTTCTTCATGAAAATAGAATGGAAATTCCAGATCCCAGTCTGAAACTCTAACCACTATACCTCACTGGCTTTTGTGTGGCAGCTGCTGTTGAACAGCAGTGAGCAGCTGGGCCTGGGTGAGTCATACAAATTGACAAATGATTTGCTGTCAGCCTGGCCCGGCCAAATTCTCTCTCAAAATCTAAAACAGGCTCTGCCCCTTTGCCCTGCCTTTTCCTGATGGAAACCAAGGCTTGAAGGATGGCAGTATTATTGTGGTTGCTTAGTAATGGCTACTTAAGGCATTTGTTTCTGAAAGGTATAGGCACTGCTTTCTTCATTTTGTGGGGTTTTAACCCCCAATTTCTTTTGGTGAGATTTCATATTCTTCTGCAAACCTGAGGCTTTTTCTTCTTTTCATACAAAGATTCGTAGAAAGTACCCACAGATGGGGCCATGTTGAGATTAGTTATACTGATATCAACCAGTCATCATGGACTCCAGAAGGATACTTCTTCATGAAATTACACCTGTGTCATGCTTTATTGAACACAGATTATAACAGTCTAAAAGCTACCTCCACTTATGAGAACCGAACACATTTTACTTACTTTCTTTGCAACAGCAGTGCAATTTCTGTCTGAACTTTCATGTACTCTTGTGCCATTTTACAATGTTGTTCAAACACAGCCATAGATTCTTTTGAGTTTGGACATGGTGCTAGAGGCTGAAAATAATATCAGACATGTTAGAAACAAACCATGGGATATCATCTCAAGCATGCAGGTTGTCAAAATCTGTCTGCAGTGTTTTTATAACAGCTTTCAGAAACAAGTTACCCTATGCTCTGGAAAACCATTATAGCATACTGATTCAAGCCAGACATTTGTCACAAAGAATGAATTTCACATTATTTTAGGTATAATCTGCAGAACGACTATATCCTGGCAAACAAAGAGCAATCAGGACGCTTCATTCCTGAGCAAAGTGTTTCATGATGGGCATCCTAACTCCCCCAGGCCTCTGTGATAACCCGTAGAGGTATCAATGCCAAGGCATTGGTAGTTAGCTATTTCTTCAGTGCTAAACAAGGGACAGGAGGCCCCCAAACAAGATGCACTTTTGAAGACATCTTAGAGAACTATCACTTGCTTTTCTAAGCTGCTGTATTAGAACAGCCAATGATAGCATCAGATTAATTGATTCAGATGTAAATGCTGGAGACTACAGTTTCTACATCTTATCTTTACATCAAACAGGTCAGCCAAGCATCTTTCCCCCTCTCTCACACAGTCACAACAACAACAACAGACAAACCAATAGCTCCCATCAAAGAAATGACCAAAATATCATAACATAGTGCATAGCATATTAAAATGCATAAATAAAATGTACAGAGATTTACCTGCAACTGGTGGTCTAATGTAAGATATGCCATTGGGATGGAGTTATCAGATCCATTTGTATCTGTTATGAAAATACACAGATCTTCTGAGCTTCAACTGTTCAAAGTAATCTTAAACATGTCTGATATTTGCAAGGGCTCACTTTAACAATGACTTCATTAGGAGGTTGTAAAGGATACTGTGAGATGATTAACTGTTGTGTGGCATCTGCTTATTTCTTACTGTATACACACAGAAAAAGCTGGTTGTCTACACCAACTGGTCATGCAATAAAGCAGTTTATGACTGATTAATCACACAGAATAGCTAGGTAGTGGAAACGTAACCATGCCAGGTTCGTTATGTGGAGGGTCTCAGTATTTTTATTCAAGTAGCTGTCTGAGGCTATTGAATATTATCTGAAGCAGCCAATATGCTGCGTTGCTTTTAAGAAATAACTTTTAACCAAAATAAAATAATAATAATAATAATAAAAGAAATAACTTTTAAGACAGTTAACAATTTTAACAACTAATTCACAATATTGTGTTGTATTGTGGTTTTATGCTATACCAAAAACTGTCTCAAGGGCTCTGCGGAGTCATGCAGAAGGATACCTCTAATGAATTAAACAAAACAACATTTGTTGGCCTATGTATGCTACTGGTATAAGTTGTTTCCCAAGGCTAGTCTGTTTCTACGTGTAATTTTTCTATCCTATTTAAAAAGTATTATTATATTATTATAGCACACTGTATACAAGTGTACACTCCTATGGTGGATTAATGTCAGGAAAAAAAAGTAGGAAGACACGTGGATTGTAGTGGTTTGAACTCTGTTTCATTCTGGTCAGTTTCTACCAGAAGATTCGCCCCATAAAGCCTGAGTAACTTTTTCATGCTGCACTGTTGGTCTACCCTCTGGTCTAGGCCAGTATCAGCAATTATTTCAGTGAGAAGTATTGTCCCTTTAAGTCTTAAGGTCATACAAAGATATCTATCCCATTTGTCATATACACACTGTTTACTGTTCTATATTTTACAATTACTTGCTTTGTAACAAAACTGATACTCCAATGTCCAATACCATGAGCTTTGTAAGAAGCATTGGCAACACATGTACAATACGGTGAAGAAGGAGTTGGTTTTATACCCCACCCTTCACTACTCGAAGGAGTCTTGGAGCGACTTAAAATCACCTTCCCTTCCTCTCCCCACAACAGATAACCTGTGAGGTAGGTGGGGCTGAGAGAGCTCTGACTGACCCAAGGTCACCCAGCTAGTTGCATGTGGAGGAGTGGGGAATCAAACTTGGTTCTCCAGATTAGAGTCCGCCACTCTTAACCACTACACCAAACTGGCTCTCTCCTACCACTGTGCACCCATCTTATACTACGGACTCAAATGAAGGAGTGAAAGAAAGCAAAAGAGCACCTGATAAGGCTGCTATTTGCTTGCCTCCCACTACATCCCTGTAGTCCAAGAGGTAGTCCAAGCATGAGGACTTTCTTCTCTGGCTGGTACTGATGCTGGATCATGTTCTGGAGGTTGGGCAGGTAAGCAAACAAGAGGCACTGGAGTTTAAACTCCTAGTTATGTCTAAACTTTCTAATTTTACAGTTAGACATACCTGCTTAACATAAATAATCAAGTTATTGGTGAAAAAACCCAGCATCCACAAGAACTTACCTGCAGAGTCATCAGGTGTCCACGGAAGACTACGAGCTGGCTTTTCAGAGGTTGGTCCCGAGGTAGTGATCATTCTCACACTAGGACTAGATGATCTACTGCTGTTTCTACTTTCCTGTAAGAAAACATTTTAAAACCAGCTGTCATGTGGATGATGCCACCTCTACCCCCACAACAGGAATTTATTTTCAGAGTACTTTTTAAAGTGTCCTGCTACAGACATTTAACATTAACTATTCTATAAAAGTTGTTAATCTCAAATGTTTTAAGTCAACAACAGTACCAGCTGCTTTTAACAATCTAGATGAAGTGACAGTCTGTAGTCTGTTCATGGCCCTTTTCTTATGGGCTTGAAGTTAACACAGGTGATTTCCAAATGATACAACAGGAATGTTAACTGGAAGATGTTCTTAAGGCTGTATTGAATCATGAAAGCAGAACTTTGGTAAAGAAAAACTGTTACTTCAGTACCAGGGTGGCCAAACTGTGGCCCGGGAGCCGCATGTGGCTCTTTCACACATATTGTGCGGCTCCCCGCAGGCTCCCCATCTATTTGGTTTCTTTGTTTCTCTCACTCTCTTTCCACCTCTCTCTTAGACAAATAAATATCACTAGCAAGCAAGTAAATATCATTGGACAAATAAATATCATTACCAATATCTGTTTTTACCCCTTTTGTTTTTATTTTTGGCAGTCTCATTTAAAGTTAATAAAAGCAAATGTGCATATTTTCCAATAAAAACATGTGTGTAGTATTTGTTCATGTCTTACAGCTTTCAAACATCTGATGCTTGTTCTATGTGGCTCTTCTGTTAAGCAAGTTTGGCCACCCCTGCTTTATAGATTTACAGGTTACTACAGTTCCAGATCAGCCTTGCTTCGTATATAATACAGAAAAAAAGTAAGATCAACACAAAAGAAACCTGGACAGGTTTCTGTATTACAAGAGAAATAACTTGAATGAAACAAAAAAACAAACAAACAAACAAACAAACAAACAAACAAACTATAAGAGCACAAAGCTAACCACAGCAAAGCACACATGCTTTGTTGAGAGTTCAGACTTCTTCCTCATGCTGAAAAATGTGGAGCAATGACTACAGAGAAAGCAGACCTGCTCTCTACACCCCACAGTTTCCTTTCTAGAGACTAAAAGGGTACATCCAGATTATATACCAACAAGTGGGTACCCACAAGGATTTGTGGGAGGCATCTTATTCCCCCTCCTCCAATATTTCCTTTCTCCCTTTCCTGAAAGCCCCCAGAGCATCTTCCTTCTTCCTCCTGTCCTTCTAGGGTTGCCAACCATCAGGTGGGACCTGAAGATCTCCTGGAATCACAACTGATCTCCCAACTACAGCAGTCAGTTCTCCCCTAGGGTCACCTGCTCCAGGTTGGGAAATTCCTGGAAATTTGGGGGTACAGCTGGGGGGGGGCAGGGAGGTATAGGAAGGGAAGCAACCTCAGCAGGGTATAATGCCATACAGTCCACTCTACAAAGCAGAAATTTCCTTCAGGGAAACTGATCTCTATCATAGAGAGCAGTTATAATTTCGGGTGATCTCCATGCCACCCCGGGAGGTTGGGAACCCTAGCTGCTGCCAGACAACACAGACCTGTCTCCTGAAGAAAATGGAGGATAGGGTCTATGGTAAAATATCTGGCTGAGGCCTCTGCCCTCCCCAAGCCCTGCCCTCCTCAGACTCCATCACAAAATCTCCAGGAATTTCCCCACCTGGAGCTGGCAACCCTAGCCAGGCTTGGCCCCAATGAGTCCTCTCTCAAATGCCTGGAAAGGGCCCTGCCCCCTTGGCCCTGCCTTTTACTGACAGAACAAAGCATGGAATACTGTGGTTGCCTAGCAATGGCCACTCAGTGAATCCACTGCTTAAAGCTACAGGCGCTTTTATCATTTTGGTTTTTTTAAAACCTCCTCCAATGTATTTTTTAAAAAAGATTTCACATTTTCCTGCAAACCTAGGGTATTCTTCAGGTTTGTAGAAAGATCCATCTTGCCTGTTCACAGTTCCAGCCACTGGATTTAGGTATCCTCAGATTTAGCCAACTTGGAATCAGTACACAGGTTTATGACTGCATGCACTTCCATGGAGAAAATGGTGGCTTATCACCAATGCAAAGAAAAGCTAGCCAGTGAATCTTTCCTTTCCCTATATTGTTTGAAAGTGAACTACCATGTACACCATCCAGAGCTCCTTGGAGGAAGGCTGGGGCAAAACATACTAGATATATACTCCAGGCAAAGCATTGTGCCTGCGCAGTGGAGGGAAATGGCACTGTTCCAGGTGGTCAGAGGCCTGCTTGGATCTGGCTTGCAGGACAAGGTAGGACTACTCAGTGGCCTGCTGTGACCACTTTGCTCAGCACTTTCCAGATACAATCTCTCACATCCATTCCAACTTGAACTCTACATTAGCAATGACAGAGTCAGATGGGCTCAGGGCGCTGACAGCAAGATCAAGAGAATGAAATGACCAATGGGATCCATGATCCACATTTGAACATAAAGTACTCTACAATCCCCTTATGACCTGATGAAGGAAGGAATATGACTTGCTCAAAGATAGATATTAAACTGCGGATTGAAGTATGATTTTAACAGGGTTTTCTACATTTCCCTGTAATATTACTGTATCCTGAGTAATGTTGTGACCCACTCTATAAATCTGATATTAAACAGATACAGAAAGAGATACTGGCACAGATTGGGGTATGGTAAGGGAGAAACAGAAGGCTGACAGAATTTCACACTAGTTAACAAATGTGATGGCTAAGTAAAACATTGTGACAAGAGACAAAGAAAAACAACTGACCTCCTCATTCCTCTTTCTACTAATTCTACTATCATCTTTGTGGGTGAACATCAAGCACATGGCAGTAGAAAAGAAACTTCAGACAGCATTCCACTGCACTTCCTGCACTGAATGCATTAGTACTCTGTCAAAGAGAACCTTAGGTTCCCCAACAGGTGAATGCCCAACTGTAGACATGGGGAGGGGGGCACCAGGTGCGTGCATACCGAATGATAAAGGATTAACTAGAAACGTGCTCAGGGCAGACTGCAAAAGAACCTTTTTCAATGAGCACTGACTATTGTCACTGCTACCAATTAAAGCATTATCCCCATGTCTGTCTAAAAGGAAACGACACCCAAGTGGAGACACTCATAGAGGCAGAACTGTTCTCTTTTGTGTCATGGAGACCACAAATAGGGTCTACAACAACCACAATAACCACTGGGAAACCAGCTGTTCCTATATGTGGTAGATTGTGTCGCCCACCAATGCCCCTACACCATACAGATACACGTGACACTTCCAGCATGAAAATGTAGTGACTGGCAAAGCTATACATGTTAATTTTTATACCTATTAAAGACATAGGAACCTGTCAGGAAAAGAAACAAGGTAATCTCCACCCTGTATGGTCACAATTCACTGTACAATAGATGCTGCAATAGTGTGCATAATTCTCAATTAATCCTCAGATACCCTCCCCAATTGCTTATGCCATCCATCCCAGTTTTATCTTTTCTCTAAGGAGCTCAGGCTTCTTACATCGCCCTTCCCAGATCATCCTAATAAACCTCTGATGTGGGTTAGGTGGACCAGCCCAAGGTATGCTATAAGTTTCAGAGCCAAGTGGGGATTTGATCCTGAGTCTCTCTAGTCCTAATACAAAATTCTAACCACTATAATATATTTGCTGTCTCCTTCAGATGTCTTCACAAATGGAAAGGGAGCAATGGGTCCCTTTCTATCAAACACCCTTTCTATCAAACACCCAAACAGTGCTGAGCATCTGCATACTTTGCTACTAGTTCACTAGCAAAGGGGAAGGGGAAGGGGAAGGTTCCAAGTAAGTCACAGTCTTCCTTAGCACTCCTCTGGGTAAATACTGGAACGATAAACTGAACAGTGTTGCTGTCCTGAAGAGAAGAGATGAGGGAACTAATGAAGAGTTTTACTGCAAAAAATAACCCAAACTGGCACTCAGCCAAATTGATAGGCATGGATAGGTGTTATGAAGGAGGCTATGCCATTTCAGCCTGGATTCAGAAAAGGAAGAGGCACTAGGGAGCATACTGTAAATTTATGCTAATTACTGGAGCATACCAGAGAATTTCAGAAGAAAATCAGCTTGCATTTCATAGATTACAGTAAAGCTTTTGGTTGGTTTTAAAAGAAATGGGTGTGCCACAACATCTGTCTGTTTTGATGCACAACCTGTACTCTGGATAAGAGGCTTCTATTAGGACAAAATATGGAGAAACAGAATGGTTTCCAATTGGCAAAGGTTCAGGCAAGGATATATTTTATCTCCCTCTCTCTTCAATCTATGTGCAGAGCATATCATAAGGAAAGTGGGATTAGATTGAGATGAAGGTGGAGTGAAAACTGGTAGAATCTGAGATCTGCAGATGACACCACATTACTGGCAGAAAATAGTGAAGATTTGAAATGACTACTGATGACGGTTAAAGCAGAAAGTGCCAAAACAAGATCCCAGCTGAATATCAAGAAGACAAACACAATGGCTACTGGGAAAATTACACAACTTTAAAGTTGACAAGGAAGACATTGAAATTGTTCAAATTTTTTATTCCTTGGCTCCATCATCAACCAAAAGGGACACTGCAACCAAGAAATCTGAAGGAGATTGAGACTGGGAAGGGCAGCCATGAAGGAGCTGGAAAAGATTCTTAAGTGTAAAGAGGTGTCATTAGTGAACAAGATCAAGATAATTCACGCCACGGTATTTCCCATTACTATGTATGAGTGTGAAAGTTGGGCAATGAAGAAAGCTGACAGGAAGGAAGTTGATTCATTTGAAATGTGGTGCTGGAGGGACGTTTTATGGATACGATGGACTGCCCAAAAGACAAATGTGGGATCTAGATAAAATCAAGCTTGAACTCTCCCTAGAAACTAAATGACTGAACTGAGGCTGTATTATAAGAAGACAAGAGTCACCGGAAAAGACAGTAATTCTAGGAAAAGCTGAAGGCAGCAGGAAAAGAGGAAGACCCAACATGAGATGGATGGACTCACTCAAAGAAGCCACAAAGGCCCTCAGTCCAAAAGACCTGTGCAAGGCTGTTGACAACAGGACATCTTGGAGGTCATTAATTCACAGGGTCGCCCTAAGTCAGAAGCAACTTAATGACAATTAACACACACGGAATGTCTAGTTTATTCTCAATAAAATAGTCCATAAAGCACAATGGCTTATTGGACTTACTCAGGCTAGGCCTAATACAGCATTTCAGTAAAATACAATAAGTAGATGCACGTGTTTCAAATTGAGGATGAAACTAATACATTCTGAAAACTAAGTAAGTTATTAATAATCCCACCATCAGCATTAGTTCATTCCTCTGAACTCACTCAGTCAGTTTTACTGCCCATGAGATGAATTTTGCCACTGTTTCTATAGTCCTCTTGTCAGACCTCAAAGTGGGGTTTAACAGATGATAATTCACAGAATGGGCTGGATTGGTAGCCATAAGCGAACTGAACATAATTGCCCTTTGCTCTGCATACATTACATACATGTGTAATGGGTTCAACAACCTGAGCTCCACAGGGACATAATGTCTGCTCACATGGGATTCCCCTAAATCTACCAGTTAGCTTTGCTAAAGGGACTGTGTTAAAATGGGCTAAGGAGAGCAATCTACATAAAGCAGGAACCATAAGAAAGGATAAAGATTTACTGTAGGAAAAGGGAACTGAAGGCACAAAATCCAAATAAATAGGTGGGCATACTTGCTTGGCATCAGATTTGAACATTTGCCAGTCCAGCTCTTCAAGCCTTTCTGTTACTACTGCACAGGCCTTGCTTAATCCCAGCTCCAATCAAGAGGTCACAGAGAACCCCAGATCAGCAAGTTTCTTATCTGGCTTCAAGAGCTGGAATACGAGTCAGGTTGAAGCCAGCTCACTGTAGTTGGAGGAAGTCAGACTGAGAGAGAGGCAGTCAGAACTTGACTGAAACCTGGAGGCTATGCAACACGCAAGGCATGTTAAGGCAGGAATACATCAGCTGCACTGCACAGGTCTAGTTCTTTCCGTCTCCTTTTCCTTAGGGTCTGCAACCAGGGACTGAACAAAGGATTGAACCTGGGGCTTTGTGTATGCCAATCTAGTGGTTTTTCTACTGTGCAGTAATGTACACAGATCCCTTTGATATAGATTTATACGGTATGGGGATATATACGGTATGGGCTATTAGCTACAAGGTATAGATAGGGACTCTGGGGCAAGTGATGCTCTGTCATCTTGGTGCTTGGGGGGGTCAACAGTGGGAGGGCTTCTAATGTCCTGGCCCCACTGGTGGACCTCCTGATGGCACTGGTATTTCTGGCCACTGTGTGATACAGAGTGTTGGACTGGATGGGCCTTTGGCCTGATCCAACATTGGTGTCTCTTATGTTCTTAGGAGTGAAGGACTTGTGTTATTGGCCGGACTTCAGAGAGACTACAGAGTGTGCTGTCCACTCCTTCTGTTCCAACGTGTAAGGTCCTGCTTAAGGGAGTAGGTGACGTAGGCAGCTTAGATTCTTCTACTGCTGCCTTTACCTTTCCATTTAAATTTACTGTTGCCGGAACACCCAAACTGTAGGCTTTGCCTTGGAGACATAGCCATCTTCCATAGGTTGGATCCAAACTCATACCTTTTTCCATTACACTGATGCTTCCCACTAAGGCAATATCTAGGTCATGATGTTGACTCCTCTGACCCAGGGAGCAGTCTTAGTTAACCCTCTTCTTCAAAACATATCATGGCAAAAAACTCCCATGGATACTCCTGTACAAACTTACTATGCACATCATTCTGTGGACTCTTTGGTGCCACCACTGGGGTCTTTGTTGCCTGCAAGTTTTATATTCAAAAACCAATAAAATTTTATATTAAAAAAAGTTTTATATTCAAAATCACTAGGACTAAGGAGATGGTGGACTGTGACTAGAACTTCACTGCTTCCTTCCTTGTTGAGTCCAAATATTTCCCTTCAATGAAGCTGTTTGCAGGCTGTGCATGGATTGCGAGATTTGAAGAATTATCTGAACAGAGCTATACAATGAACGCAGATGTCAGTTGCTGTCCTCTTGTGCACTGGTCTAAAGGACATTTTGATACACTGTGGGCTTTTCCTGGAAGCCTGCTTATGGATTGGGTGTGTAGGAATGATTCTGTGATAACTGAGCTACTGTTGCATGCTGACTGGTGCCTTCCACTCCTGGTAATAAGCAGCACGTGTGACTGGTGGGTGGCAACAGAGTTGTTGAGGACTCTATGGAATTATGTTAGTGCCACTTTCTGATTCTTGCCTCTACAGCAATTACTATGCTTTAAACTCTGCTGCTGGAATAGTTAGGAAATCACTCTTAGCATTTGAAGGACTTAACTCTTACCTCCCCAAAATCAGAATATAAGAATTGCCTGAAGGACAAAGGGAAGTGTTTGATTTAATTCCCTAGGCTTCACTGATCTGATTCAAGAGTAGTGCTGCAATATTTTCTGCAGCACTCCTATTGATTCTGAAGGCCATATTCAAGAAAATTTCACAGAGCCTCCAAGCACATGTACATGAGCACTGCTATTCAGAGTCTGATGCTAAACATTTTTATATAAAATGTCAACTAAAATGTCATTTTATGCAAATACATAGAATTCTGAGGCAAAAGTCAGTGCTATCTAAATTGTTCTATAGAGAGACAAAATCTAGGGAGCATAGTTTTTCTTCCTCCAACACTTCCCCTAGGAACCATAATCGGGATGCTAACATTATGTATTTTATATATTTGTACTTCTCAAAAATAGCACTTTAGATAAAGTGAATGTCTGGATACTTGCAAGTCTGGGCCTATCCTATCGCAGCTAAGTTTCCTAAACACAACTTTTGGAAAAATGTTCAAATTCAGAAAAGATTAGAATGAAAGTAAGGAATGAAGTTGATAATTAACCACCAAGGAAACAAAAAAATCAAGCTAAACCAAAGCATCATATAGCTGGGCCTGAGGTTAGACTCTGGCAAACACACCACTTGCATGTGTAACTGACATTTAATAAATATTTCAAAAGGGTAGTGTTAATTAAATTTGCAGCATGGTTCACTTGGAATTAATTTCCACTGAAGTCAATTTTATTTATTTACACATTCTGTAAATTATTTGTAGTATTTGCCACTGAGACTCAAGGTGTGTTACACAATGTAAATCAATGCAATCACTACGATGATATATCTAATAAGCAATCAATAAAACTAGAACTGCCGATACTTGAAATAAAGCTGCGACTGCTCCCAGATAAGCGTGCAAGGGACTGTAGGTTACTAAAACTACAAAATGACAAAAGGCAAGCAAAAGCAGAATAGCAAACAATCAGGATACAAGGCTGAGGGTTTTTTTTCTTGCTAAAGCAATACAGAGCCATGAAAGAAAACATTCAATTTCCCACCACGCTTCCACAGACATTTCATGTCTTTGGATTAGGAATGTTCAAGGGCTTTAAATTTTGTGGTACCCTATTTGAGTAGCTGGTACAACATACAAGCTACTTATAAAACTAAGAGCATCAATTAATGACGAAAACATTGCTCAGGACATTTTATGAGCTACAAAAATGGAGAGATTCTTACCTGGTTGGATTCTGTTCCAGCAACACTAAGGTCCTGAATGGATCTGCGCCTCTGCTGTCCGTTGCCCGCTGATAAGGGAAGGGAAAAAAATGCTGAAATGCAGTCAAACAAAGTAAGAAGGGTGCGACTGTTGTAGAAACAGCTTGGAATTTGTAAGGAACCAGAGAAAGAGAGAGAGAAAGAGAGAGAGTGTTTGTGTATGGGCAGGAGGGGGGATAGAGGGACAGCTGCAAAGTTTTAAGTAAAAAAAAAACTCCACGCTGGCATGTCAACAGAAAGCATATCCTAATACAATAACCACTCCTACCCCATGAATAGCTTCTGCACTTTCCTTCACCATCTTCTGTCACATGTGCTTAATGCTTGGGGGCTGGCACTGATGACGACATCTATTTCAAGGAGGTTACGTTATGGGGATTTCTAGAGAAGGCTGCTAAGATAGGATACTGCCAGCAATCTCTGTTCTTTATACTGATCCAGCAATCTCTGTTCTTTATACTGATCAACGAAATTAGTAATCAGCAGTACCATTTAAAAAAAGCCTTTCCTCCCTGTCTGTCATAGCAAACACAACCCCCAAAGAGTATTCAGGTAGTAATTCTCCTACTTTTTTTGTTGAGAATAAAATATACTTATTTGTCTCATCCTAGCAAGGAATTTTTCTCCCCCAAGTTTCAAAATGATCAACCATTGATGCGATATGTAAGAATAAAACATCTGTAAATGTTGCAAGTCAGTCAATCAAGAAACTTCCTACAGAAGACAACATGTTTGGTGTGTACAATTTCTTTAAGTATTCTGTCACTACAATGACTTTTTTAAAAATACTGGTCCTGGGAAGTCCGCTCAACTATCCAAGGGGAAACACCAACAAGTTAGGATTAACAGCTGACAAAATACTCAGAATTCTTGGTCTCTGAAGGTTGCATTGCATAGCTTAAAAAAATAAAAATAAAACCCAAGACCAGCAGTAGCACTTACAGCAAGCACTCCAACAATGACAAGCACATGCATAAACCTCCTGGAGTCCCTCAGTTCATCATTCTGTGTTTGCACCCTGCACCTTGCTTTTGTTAATGTCTAAAATTCAACTTTACAGTTTTTCAAGGCTTAGTAAAAGTGCCCAACTGATTTTACTATATTGGGTCATTCTATTTTATTCATATATTCAATGCAGTAGAAGTGAAAGAAGCATAAGGAATCTACACAGTATAAGGAATGAATGATCTTCTTGAACCAATTCTTCTGAACCCTGTTTTGGTAAGCATGATGAGTTGGATCCAGCACAGTATTTCCAAGAATGCAAAGTGCAAACTTCTCAGCTCTCCCTCTCACTGCAGCCTGAAATGCCATATGAAATCCTACTCTTGAAGGAGAGCCCCCCCCCAGCAATAGGATTTCAGGGGGCAGTTTGGGTTCCTGCCAAGGGGTGGGGCTGGGCTTTTTCCACCTATCATAGACACATTTTATGTATTAAGTTTTGAAAAGTACTTAAGAGAAATAATTTAAAAGTTTTAGAAAGTAAGCAAAATTTGAGATGAGATTGTATTCTTTAGCTTGAATGCAAACCCTAACCAGACTCTCACAGTATTGTCCCGGGAGGCAGGCTTTCAGGGACACAGTGGGCTGCAGCAGTAGAGGGGAAGTGCCCCTATCACTCTGTTCCTCTCTGCAAGCTTTCCTCAGGTTACTCTGGATCTAAGCCTCAGCTTTGTTGCTGATATTCTGACATGCAACAAGATTCAAAATTTCTGGCTCTCCAAGATTCATTTACAAAAAATTGAGAGAGGCAAGTTCTCAGCTCCTAAGATTTCCCCGAATGCCTTCGAGGAACTGCATAACTGGTCCTTCAGTTGCTCCCAATACATGTAAAGTAATATTCCATAAAGAACGAACATTATCTAAGAATCATTGAAGTTTTTTCACTGAGGGCAACAATTTAGTTGTTTAACTCAATTCACAGAAACATTTATACTGCTGATGAACTCGCTCCCTGACGAGCAATTTGGCATGGCCCTCAAGATGATCTACCCATGGCTGATATAACAATTATGTACACATTTCATTCAACAGTTCCATTCTAAAATTAGCTCATCTGAAATAAACTTGCAAAAAATATCTGGAATACTCATTCTGATTTCAGATTGGCAACATTTGTGAATCTAAAGAACTCAGCACATGCATGGCTGAAATACTATATCATGGTCATCTAAAAAGTTAAAATAATCAGTGTGGGGTAGAACTAAATGTGTATCGCTTCCCCACCATTCAGGAAGGTTATGCTCTGTAGCATTGTGGAGATCAAACTTTTTAAATTCAGAAACTTTCAAACCAGCAACACAAGGCAAAAGCAAGCTGTTAGGCCAACGTATTTTTAGTGCTGTTCATTCTTGCAGGCATTTAGCAAGCAGCTCAAATGCAGCTAAAAAAGCAGAATAAATACTTGTTGCTCCTGTATTAACAAATACATTACTAGGAATCTGGTCATGGAAATGCACACTTTTTCTTTTAAGTGTTTTTAAAGTGCTTTTAAAAGGTCTTTTTTTAACTTTAGGAAAAAACATGGTATTAAAATACAAGAGGATATCCTGCTGCACAGCTGATAACTAGTGTGTACAGATTTTCATCAAGTTCCAGTGATTGTGTAAAACTGAGTAGAAACAAAGGAGAGGCAATTACAAAGAATTAAAATAATTTGGTTCCTTGAAAGTTTGTGACAAAATAGGAAATAAGTATCTTCTGCTGCTTAAGATTCGTGAATCAATGAGCTTCTAAGGGGACAAAAGGAAAGTTTGTGACATATGACAAAAAGCCAAAGATGTTCGCCATAGAAAAAGATAAGAAAACAAGAATTAAATGAAACTGGAGTTCAGCAGCCTTCTAACAATATAAACTATGGCATTTCCAGGGAATACTCTCCTAAAAAGTACTGATAGCCTCTGTAGAAGCTTCTTAGAAGGGTATTCAGAAGTTCTTAGGTGGGCATCAATCTGGGGTTATAATAGAAGCTGTTTTAATATTTGCTGATTTTGTCTTCTGGTCATGGTTTTAGATGTATTGTTTTTATCATTTTAACTTCTGTTGTTACCAAATTTGGGTCCATAAATATTTAATATCAATATGGGTCCATATAAATTTGGGTCCATAAATATTTAATATCAATAAGTCACACAAGGAAGCCAGAGACTATCTGGTGAATCTAAGCTCCAATGAAATCAATGAGACCTAACTAAGCATCCTATTGAGATCAGATCAGAGGCACCTCATTTTTTCTGAACTGCACCCAAAGGTAAGAAAAATTAGAAGTCACTTATTCTTATTCTTATTCTTGACACATTTCAGAGCCTAGCATAAGGCAAAGGCTCTTAAATCTTCTTATAAAATCTAATTAACATTCTTTTTAGATAGAAAATAAAAGCAGTAGATCATCAAAGAAGTCCATGAAAAAGGCATAATATGAGAACTGCCTGAAGCAACAATTTAAAGATATATAGAAACCTGCAATAGAGTCTGAGCCCGTTGCTCTCAGGAACACTTCCCTTGTTATGTGAAGAAACGTGAGATGGCTTTCCTATTTTTTCCATGCTATAACCAGTTAAAGTGGAATGTGGAAAGAGTTATACTAAGGAGTTACTTCCAAGGTAAAAGACATGAACACTGCCAAAAGGCCATGTGAGGAATTCCATGTATGAGGCAGAATTTATGAGTTCACACTTTCAAAAACAATCCCTAAAATTCCGGAAATGGCATAAACACAAAACAAGAAAACCTCATTAGAAAGGAAGGCAACACATGTGTAAACTCTGTGGTGTGCTCACACACAAGACTTATGAGTATCTAAAGTGGCATCTGGATTGTGGCCTAAGAGTTACAATGCCATCCAAACCCATAAATGGTCACTGACCTTTTTTTAGCAGAACTTCAGCTGTTCAAATGTGTGTATTCCACTCTGATGACTCAATACTGCCCAAGTCTAAGAACTTCATATTTTATTAGCATGTGTCTGATGAGGTATGACCCAGCCTACAAAAGTTCAATAATGACAATGCAGCTGTCCCTCTTTCAAAGGCTGCAGTACTCATCATTGTTTCAGAAACATTTATGTTACCGGAGATACTATATTTTGGTAGAGATGTAAAAAATTTGGAACCTCTTATCATCTAAAATTCTTTATTGCATGGGCATGTGGTTGTTGTTCTATCCTGGGCAAGTTATGGACTAAGCATTACATCTTACCTGTCTAGAGTTCCTTTCAAAGCTTCCTTTGCTAGGTCCTAACACACTGTACTAATGAAAACCTTTTAGCTAGTAGTGATTTCTAGCCTAAAATTTGATACGTTTTTGTGAACGGATTGTACACAAAACGTATCAAATTTTAGGCTAGAAATCACTACTAGCTAAAAGGTTTTCATTAGTACTGTTCTGCATAATAAGATAATCACTTTGTTTCTATAGATTTAATCTCTTCCATAAATCACTTTTAATTGTATCACACATCAACTATGACATATGATTAGAAAAAAAAGAATTTGTATGTCTTCTGGTTACTTCTTAATACCAACAAGTATTTAGCCCACTTCCAAAAAGTTACTTTAATGGAAAGTGTTGCACTACCATTTGTGTACAATGCACACATTTGTGTGATTAATACCCAGTGTAATGTGTAAGTGTTTAAACAACCATCAGAGGAGAGTTTCAATTACTATATGATTTTGTTGAACATTTTGAATAGTCTCTAATTCATTAAGTGATCTGGGTATTGCTGGGAATTGTCTTGAATAAGCTCATAAAAACAACCACACAATGAAATTCACTACTGAATACAAATGCCATGTATGCACTTGTATATATTGGAAATATTGAGGAAGACTATTTTATTTTCCCAGCAGTGTATAAATTGTGCTATCTTTGAGGCAAGTAAGCCAAACCCTCTTAATCCCTTAATTTACAAAAAACATTTAGCCATGGCTAGGCCAAAAACTAAATGCTTAACTCCTTCTCCCAGGCAGCCACCCAGAACATTAGTCTGATGGCTAATCCAGCAGGACTACCCCCAAGGTCCTAGTGAGCAGGTGGTACTTCCAACAGGGCTGTCAAACTCCCAGCCTTGATAAACCTACTTTCATTTATTCTCATGAACAGTGGAGAACTATGGCAAGATTGAGATTCTGATTGTTTAACTGATTAAATTGGGTATTTATATAGTTTTAATTAATCAATCAGTTATTGATAATTTATACGGTGGGGGTGGGGAGGCTAGAGGAAGGGTTCTGAATGAATTTGTATGCTATTTCCCCAACCTACATTTTCCCTCACAAATTAAATTGAGACTGTTAGCCTATTAATCAAATTACATTGGAATATCTGGAATTGATTACTTTGAATTTTTCATTTTGTTCAATTCAATTGGGTTAATTCTGTAATAGGGCGGGTTAACTGGATAGTCAGTGAGATGGATGGGGTATTCAGTCAGATAGTGGTTAGAGACAAACTGTGTTTTTTAGAGCTGGGTATGTACAGCCTTTTGTTGGCTACTGGAAAGTGAATTGGGATTGACAGCACCGATGATGGGGGGTCATGCAAGGGCTAGGGATACCAGTGATTAAGGGGCAGGGGAGATATAGTGGTGGGCATAGGTGCTATTCCTTTAATTGGAATGGAAGAAGTCAGAGATATGGGAATGCTTGAACTCCTTCCCACATGCGTCCCATCCCAAGAGATGGTGGTTGTGGGGCTAGGAAGACTTACCCTTCTCCAACATTGGTGTTAGTCAACGCCAGGTCTATCAATAATAAGATCAATGTGCTCCGTGATTACTTCACAGAGTCGCGGGTAGACCTGGCATGTGTGACTAAAATGTGGGTGAGGGATGGTGAAACTGTCGCCTTGAACCAGTTTACCCCACCTGGGTTTTCAGTCTTTCACCAGTCTCCGTCATATGGGTGTATGTGTGTGTATGTGTGGCTTTGCCCATCTGTGAATTTTGTTCCTTCAGGTCACTTCCCGCCCCAACAATCTTCGACACTGAATGTGTAGGCCTGGAGTGTGATGTTGAGGAGAGTTTGGATATCTGGGTGGTGTACTGACTGCCTAATGCACCGGCAGATACCCTGTCTGACCTGCTAGATGCTGTATCAGGTTGGGCATTAGAATATCCCAGGCTTCTGGTTTTGGGTGACTTCAATGACTTGGTGTCGTCCATGGAGGCACTGGGACTCTCCCAGTTTGTATTGGCTCCCATGCATCAAGCAGGCCACACGATGGATCTGATTTTTGGGATGGGGATACATGTGGATCAGATGACTACAGATGTAGTCGCATGGTCTGACCACTTCGCCCTGAAGGCCCGGCTGAGCATTTCGCACCTTCCCTGTTTAGGCGGTGAGCACATTTATGCCCACCCGCAGATCAATGGACCCCATTCGGCTTCAGGAAGCTCTGCGGGACCCAATGCCCCCAGGCGGCTCATTGGATGAGCTGGTGGAGGTCTGGGAACACTGGCTCTCTGAAGCCATCAACGAGATTGCTCCCTGGCACCCTCTATATCCTTGCACCAAAGCAGCACCTTAGTATACACTGGAGCTGCGGAGGATGAAGCAGGAGCTAAGATGGCTAGAGCCGAGGTGGCAGCGTACTCGTGACGAAGTGTCACGAGCATCTTATAGGACGCTTATGAAAGCCTATGAGATGGCTGTGAAGGCCGCAAAGAAGGATTTCTACATGACCTCCATTGCCTCTGCGAGCTCACACCTGGCCCAATTATTTAGAATTATTCGTTCCATTATGACTCTGCCACAGGACAGACCAAATAGTAGGGGACTGGCCATTGGCTACGAAGCATTTGCGAGCTATTTCGCAGATCAGATCATGACACTCCGCTAGGACCTCCCGACCACAGTTGAGACAGTAAGAGAACTGAAAGCCCCTTGTCCGTCTTCTGGTCTGATATTGGACCACTTCAATCAACTCTCCCAGGAGGAAGTCGACAGGATCCTGGCAGCGGTAAGGCTGACTACTTGCCTCCTCAACCCATGTCCTTCCTGGTTGGTGAAATCATGCGGGGAGAGCACTCGGGTCCCTCTGGGAGAAATCATCAACTTGTCCCTTTCTACTGGGACTTTTCCAGAGGCTTTGAAGAAGGCAGTAGTTCGTCCGCTCCTGAAAAAAAAATCATTGGACCCTATGGTCCTAACCAACTACCACCCAGTGTCGAACTTATCATTCCTGGTAAGGTGGTTGAGAGAGTGGTGGCTGAACAACTCCAGGCTTTCCTGGATGATGCTTCCATCCTTGGTTCCTTCCAGTCCGGCTTCTGCCCTGGTTATGGGACAAAGACGGCTCTGGTCGCCCTTACAGATGATCTCCATAGACATCTGGATCAGGACATTTGGAGACAGTCGACTATGATCTATTGACCCACTGCCTCGCCGATGTGGGAGTTCAGGGGACTGCCTGGAAATGGTTTTCCTTCTTCCTCCATGGTCGAGAACAGAGGGTGGCACTTGGCGATAGGGTCACCCCACGATACCCACTGGAATGTGGAGTGCCGCAGGGGGGCGATCCAATGTTATTTAACATCTATATGCACCCCCTCGCCTAGTTAGTCTGGAGTTATAGGCTGGGTTGTCATCAGTATACTGATGACACCCAGCTCTATCTGTTAATGGACAGCCATCTGTCTTCCATTCCTACGAACTTGGCTGAGGCTTTGGATGCTGTGGCTGGATGTTTGCCGCAGAGTTGGTTGAAGTTCTCCTTCGAAGACAGAGGTCCTGTACCTGGGTCAAGGAGGGTTGGATGTGGGTTGCCTTTGGTGCCAGCCCAGACAGTGAGGAGTCTGGGAATGACACTGGATGCCTCTCTTTCCATGGAGGCCCAGGTTGCTGCATTACACTCTAAAGATCAACACCTTCTGGTTGTCCCTGGCCTGAAGGACGCCTGTGTTGCCTCAACCAGGGCCAGGGCTTTCTCTGTCCTGGCCCCAGCCCAGTGGAACATGCTCCCTATTGAGACCAGGGTCCTGCAGGGTGTTCTTCGATTCCGCAGGGCTTGCAAGATGGAACAGTTCCGCCAGGCCTTTGGTTGAGGCAACGGGCGCCGATATATTGCCTCCCTGAGGTTGCTGTCACCCGTCTACTTACTGACCACCCACAACTGGCCTTTAACTCACCGAACCATCGGGCCAGAACTGTATAAGCCAACTGATGCTGTTTCAAACTGTACCCATTGTTTTAATTGTTATAATGTTTTATCATGCTTTAAATTGAAATTTTATTTATTATAATGATGTTACCCGCCCTGAGCCCGATTGCAGGATGGGCGGGATATAAATGCAAATAATAAATAAATAAATGAATGCTTGTCTTATTGTTTATGCCTAGGAAGGCCTTATTTTAGAGACTTGAACATTATCAAGTACAACAGATTACTTGCATTGCACTTTACTCACATTCGAAACAGGATCAAATACTGTTTGCATCTCTGAGTATTTGCAAATCCCTCCTCTTGGTTTGATCTCTGGTATAAACATTAAATAAACGTGTATCTTACAGTCTAAGCCTAAGAATACTTTCCTGGAAGGAAGCCCACTGAATAGACTTCAGTACGATTCCGAGTAGACCTCCTTAGGATTGCACTGTTAGTTGAGTTTAATGTGCACTATTACTACAGCATTCTTAAATTGTTTGATCATTTCCCTTCAAAATCATTAAATATTTAATTCTAATTAAAACATTCAGTTGTCAGATGCATCGATACATCTCGTCTTTAGTCAATCCTGACAACTCACCCAGAACTACTTAAAAAACCCTAGGTATCATATTTTTACCTGGAGGGACTTAATTGTTCTAGTGATTGAATCAATATTATATCAAACGTTTATAGTTTTTGCAAATGTGAAAGGGGAAAAAAAACCTGCATTAAGACAACAATGCTACTTTCACATGAAAAGAATGAATGCTAGCAGATATTACCTACACTGAAAAGTACCCAGTCTTACTGGATACTTCTGTTAGAATTCTGGAGATCTGGAACAAAACATTTCTGCATTCTTCTAAGAAGACAGTGCCACATAGCAAAATATTTTCACAAACAGGAGCAAGAAGTATTTAAACATCTGATCATTATTCCAGCATGGACCCACTTAGATGGCCTGTGATACCTGGTATGATGATCTCTGGGACATCCAGAATGGTGCCAAATGAAGCAGTTTTACGATGGCCTCGTTTGGGTTTGGAAAAGGCTGAAAAAACACACACATACAATACACATGCAAACAACTACAATAGCAACACAGAATTATTCAGAACTGCACTTCTTAACTTCATTTGGTTAAACCACAGTACATGCAAAATAAAGTCATGCAGAATGTACTGCAGAGCTTTCCATTCATGCTTAAAACAATAAAGCATTTGTTAAAAGCAACACAGAGAACTAGTGTCAACAGTGTTAACACAGCACAACATAATTAGTTACAGTTAGAAACCAAAATATAAACCAAGAAGTACAGTAGTAACAAAGGAGGAAAAACCCAAACCCTGCAGATGAGACAGAACTGTTCACTGTATGTTACAATGTGCACATTAACTGGATGTATACCCAATGCTGTGGTCTGCTTGTTCACCAGAAAGCCTTATTCTCAAAATGAAATATACAAAGTATTTGGTGAACTTCTTCATGGATTTCTGATACTGACACTCTAACATTACCATATCCCAAGATCCCCCCCCCACTCATCTATTGAAACTTGGACATGTTACCATTTTGAGAAAAAGCCAGATCAACCAACCTCCAGCAGAGTCACACGAATTAAGAGATTAAAAGGTAATATACAACTATTTGACAGAAATGTATTTTTAATGCAAAACTATGCATTAGAATTAATTACAAATGTGACTAATAGTATAAGGAAGAGGATGGTGGCATAAAGAGAACAAATCAAAACCCCTTGGTAGGAACAGTTTTGTGAATACTTTATGCAGCATATATTTCTGTTCTAGAACAATGATTTCAATATGATGTTTGAAAATCTTCCAGCGCTCTGAAGAGATTTGTTTTAACCAATTCCAAAATAACCCACTAAAAGAATTATTTCTGGCATATGATGTTGGATTGACAGTGAACGGAACACAGGAAACTGGCCAAAGCAGATTTAAGATGCTGCTTTAGCAAGCTTACTTTAAAAGCCTATTCTCAACTACTTGCATAAGTGTGTACAAGTAGCATTTGGTGTTCTGGTAATCTAGTAATAGAAGGAACAAATCTGTCCTTAAATATGCCATTTATTCTAGTCCCAATAGCTTTTCATTTACTCAGCTCTCAGTTAATGGTGCCTGTTAAAAGAAGCCAAATAGTTATCAAAGTCCTACATTAACAGAATTATTTTTTACTGATTTCTGCACTTAACATTTTTGTTACCTTCATTAATCAGAAGGGGAAACAGAAACCCTCAGCAAACCCTAAGAATAACACATTGCCTCTAAACTTTATATACTCTACTGATGTCAGGAAGCTAATCTGGTATAAAACTAATGAGAACCCTAATCAGTCTCAGTGCAGATGAATGTTGTACTTATCCTTGTGACAGCCACACCTTTTAATAATAATGTTAATAATAAATAATTATATAAATTAAGGAGTGGGAGTGTCAAATTAACTTTAGTCGTTTAACAACAGCTACATACAAACGCTGACAAATTTTTGGATTATGACAGTTAAATTTAAATTAGAACATAATAGGCATCTGGCCAATATTTCATCAGAAATAAACAATAGCAAGGTTGTTACATAAATAAAATGCCTGGTGAGTTGTGGCAAATAACAGGATTAGAATATAAATCCTTTTTATAATATGAAAGTGATTTCCTGTAATATACAGACTGATGGAACAGTAAAGCTTCAGTTAGACCAGGCACAACTAAATGATTGGAACCATAGCCTGTAACTCCAATCTGTAGGTTACTAATAACCTCAAGTAATAATAGATATGTATATATGTCTTAAAAACTTACAAAGCAATTTTAATAATTATTTGGAGAGCACATAATTTTAAAATTATCTGCAAAGTACAAAATACTAAGTTCTCTTCTGAAATAGGAACATAAATGTACGCTTTTCACTGCTTGACTCCAGCAAGAAGGGAATCACCACAGAAATTCTCATGGGTTGAAGTAGGTACTTTGACCTCATTCAGACATCTCCTCATGCTTTTGTACTATAGGAGGTTAGAACTATCAGAAGCTCCAAATCCTCCTGTCCTTTGCCCTAACCATCTCTAACAGCTCAGGGTCTCAGAGAAAGGCTTTGTTTGGAGGACCTGGAAAAGAGTGATCTTCTATTATGAACAGATGTGTCCATGCATATGGGGTCCCACACCAAATCCTGATGTCAACTCTGACCTGATTGCACTCTGCCTATCAGAATCTTCTCCTTTACAACCCCAAGAGCTGTTTTGAAATGATGAATGCAACAGAAGGAGGTAGCTGTCGATTCCACATATGGGTACTCAGGTTCACTGTTATTATGACTGCAAGTAGCATCCCTTAGATCATTAACAATTATAAAATCCTAAAAAACATTTAAAAAAATGTACACTAGCCATGAATAGAACTCAAAATTAGCTAACAAATCTGTTCATACACTTGTATTGTATCTCACTAATGTTAACAATCTCATATTTCTCATGCAGAAATGATTTTGAGTTACAGTTAAGTGTTCAGTTCCAAAGATTATGGAGTGGTTGACTAGTTAAAAAACTTCCAAAATAGCAAAAGAAAAACAAAATGAATATACATGTAAGTGCATGTACAATTTAATGAATTTTAAGGGACTTAAGTCCACTTTACTGACAGTAAGTTAATGCTTATAACACATTTTAATGGAAAAGAATAAACGTGTATAGTTTTTAATTTGGGGTGTTTTTGTATTAAGTAGGTCAAGCCTACTTTTGCATCAGTGCAGACTGCCAGGGAATTACCAGTGTATCTTGACTGAATATATACTCCCTCTACTGAAAGCAGAACAGGAAAGCTGTCATTTTCATCAGTTCTTACTACTGCAGAGCTCCAACCTCATCCTATTTTGGTGAGTACCCAGGAGACAATTTTCAGAGTGTGCCAAATGTAGCAGCAGGCAGAGGGAGGCATGAACAGCCCACTTCACTTGCAGTTCTCAGGATGCACCCCAATTTTATGATTTCCTTATAGTTTTGTTATAAATGAAACCTAAAAACTTTCTTTGTATGGTAGTTATATATCCTTCATTTTTCGCTCTTATTTACTTCCATCTTACTTTCACTGCAAACTTAACAGATTTTTTTTACCTGTGGTAGCAGCAATTCTTGCTTCTATTTCTGACATATCAGCACTCATTCGCTTGCCTTCTCCTGAAACAAGGGTAGACTGTTGTCGCCCACGAACATCTGACAGACTTTCCACGCTGCTGCCACGAGATGGAGGTAAACTCAAGCGGCCAGGTTCTCCCTGTTGAAAAATAGTTTTAGAATGATTAAAAACCTAATTCCTGAAATAGCTGAAAAATGTGTTTTATGATACTTGTGGGCTTTTAACTTTCTGTTGTTTCATTTGGCATTTCCTCAATGATCTTCCCCTCCTGCCCAATATTTTAATTGCTGTTTTTATGTTTCTGCGTGCATTTGAACTCTGTGTAGGATTGTACTGTTGTAATCATTTAAAGGTTAGGAAGATCTTGTGATCTAATTTCTATGCACATTTAAAGTGAATGTCCTTAACAACATTATACGAGCGTTCTTACCGACTGCTTTGCTGAATTTTTCATCTGCTGGGCCAATTTTGATTCTAGGCGTTTAATAGTGTCATTGGTAGCAGTTCCTTGAAAATCATTTGGTTCCATGTTAGCATCACTCTTGTTACTGGTGTTTGTTGAAGTCATATCCATGAATGAACCTATAAATGTTATAAGTATCTTACTTTAGTTGAGAAGTCAGCCATGAAGTTCATTTATTGTTTGTTACTGTAACTACAGCGGGCTCTCAGGACACCTTCCCCCTCGTTACCGCCAGTCCACCCTCTTTTTGACACAGAGGTTTATCACACCCTCCACTTTAAACACAAATACAAGTTTATTTAAATAACACCTGGGGACAGGGTTATATACAGGGAATCAGTTGGTTCAGGCTTTCTTTTGTTCCTTTTTTTCTTTCTTTTAACTTTGGACTGCGCTTAGGTCTTTTAGTTTTCTTCCAGTCCACAACCTTCCTGCACACTCCATCTTTTATATCTCTGTTCTATTGAAGGCTCTCCCACAGTTTAGCGTCTCCTTAAACTGCTTCACTTGCAGTTGGTCCCTAGCTAAGACTGTATAACCTTCCCCAACAGGATTTCTTATAGAGGAGCACTATATGTGTCTGAGTTATACACCAGGAATTTCTATCATTAAACTCCTCAGCAACTCACAGGATCCACACTCTCTCTTCCACCCAAGAGCACCCTTTCTCCCCTTCCTCTTCTGGTCAGCAGTCAGCCATTAATCACCTTTTCAACCACTTTTTTCCCTCCCTCCAGTTCAAAACTGAAGATTCCAAAACCGTCACACCCTCTCTCTCTGCCTCTCTGGTCATGTGACCACTCAGCTGCAGACTACCTTCCAAGCAGCTGGCTATGCTTATAAGCTTTGCTCGGAAATTAAGCTTTCCATTACAGTTACATTCTATTGCTTCTTGGTTTTAGAAACATTTTAAAAAGTACCCACCAGACTATGTTGTTGCTAAAGTAGATTTAACCCAGCATTTGGAAACCAAATTGATTTTTAAAAAAAACAAATCACCAGTAAAGGAAACAAGACAAAGTTTTTATGATGGATATCAGGTGGGCAGATGCAAATGCTTCAGTGTTTAAGACATACTGTAGAAAAGCACTCATAATAACGTTAAGTGAAATGGATTTTGTAGGCTGGTGAAATTATCACAATGAAACTACACCAAGGAGAATTTATACTCTTTATAAATGCTAAAACAACTTAACGTTACTACTTCCCTATTTTAAACTTTTCGCTTGTGTAAGGCATAAGCTCTTCCTCTGCTACCAGTTAGTGACAACCCCATCCTACCAAGTTATTTCCAAATATTATGCATAATGGTTATTCTACTGTGACTGAAAAAAACACAAACTCTGACAAGAAATAACTTTCCCTTATGCTATTTCAAAGACAATTTAACAATTGTTAGATTTTTATGTTTGTGCAGCACTCTTTACCTCTCATTCACTGTCACAATGACTGATAGGACTGGGCCTAAAGCATGAATGTTTTAAACTATGCATCATCATCGTCACTGTAATCCAATTACTTGTATACCTGTGCTAGTGGCAGAGTTGCTTTGGCCTTCATCAGAATATTGACAAGGATACTGTAGAGGTTCATCAGCTCCTGGAAAGTACTGCAAAGAGGCAAAGGCAGAACAACAAACATTTTACCCTAATGACCACAACAGAGCAAGAAAAGGCATACTATGACCTCTGTCTCTCACACAGGTTGTTCCAGAAATCTGAGTTATACCTTGTGACTGGAAAGAAACCTCTCTCTTTCCTAACTCTGTCTGAGAAATTCCATTTCATAAAATCACCACCAAGCTCCTTTTTAGCTGGTATTTATTATCCAGTAGAAAGCAAGTCTTTTCAATACCTCTGATTCAAGCTGCTATTTAACCCTTTTGGTTTTTCTCTCACTTTAAAGCCTCTTTACATGCTTTTCTAGGTAGGTAGGCCTTCACAATCTAAAAGCATTTATAATAAAATATACTTACAAATATAGCAATAAAATACATCAGTAAAATATAGCAATATAATACATATTATCTATGATTTAGTCATCTTTAAAATCTGATAATTTCTAATAAACTAACTAGCAGCAGCTGTATCAGTTGATACCTTCCTAGTTGCTACATTTGCTCTTATTTTCCTGGCAGCTAGAGCCAAAAGTGTCATCCTGTTGGAAACAAAAGAATCTGTATCTGACAACATAGAGATTAATTTATCAGAGTCCGAAAGAGGATGGAGACCAGACAATATATTGGCGAAAAATCTTTCCTTTGGTTCCGAGCATAAGGGACAATTTAAAACGTAATGTGGCAGGTCCTCAATCGAGGTTCCACAGATACATATATGCTGATCAACAGGGGTTTTTAGGAATCGTCCGAGCAGCATTTCAGTTGTCACTGACTGAAAAAGTAATGATGAGTGCGCTACCCTAATCTTATAAATTGTAATTTCAGTCAAATAATGCACTCTAAGATTATCTTTTTTGATGGTTTTGTACCATGGAGCAAATTTTGATTTACTGATTAAAAATTTATCAATTAGGACTTCTTCTTTATAAATCCATTTCCTTAGATTGACATTGCTTCCCGAAGATTGCAATAATTAATCTGGAATAGTATATTGGGATACAATGTTAGTAAGGAAGACCTGCCGGGTTTTGTTCATGTTTTGCATCAATTGATAGCTCAAACTGCTGAAGGAACCAGGGATTATTCACTGATGCTTTTTCCACAATTTAAGAATTGCCAAATGAGCGTGTGCTGTAACCGAAGGGAGGACATTCTCTTAAAAAAATATATAAAACCCACTATTATTTTCAGGTTGCCCTCACTTAACTTTACTCTTCCACATTTGTCTTCTCCCCCTTTCCAGTATTTTCCATGTCTTGTATCCTCTCTTGTCTCTTAGAGCTATTTTAGGGGTATATTATAGCATTCTGACACTATCTAAGATTAAAACACATACCTGCATCAAATGTGTCATTATTTTGACAATTTCCTCCATGGAAGGTCGTTGCGAGGGATCTTTTGACCAACAACGAGTCATTAAGCTCTCAATAGGCTTAGGTAAATTTTTAATTAGTGGTGGCCGAGTACCTATAAGCCAAAGCATATGAGACATCTATGTTTTTAAAAAAAGTAAATTATATGCATAGTTTTAAGAATTATACACATTTCTAAAATCTATTATTCAGTCTTTCAACTTTATTTCGGCTTGCATGACCAAAAATCTTAAGCACACTTGTACACACTTATATATTATTCAGTCTCAACTGCACTGAACTGACAATCTTTGATGAATTAGAAAAACAAATGGTGCTGCTCTCAATATTAAGTTTCATAATCTTTCATATGTTCTATCCCCTACATACTGTAAGATTTCACAGGAGTGAATGAAGGAATTATTTTATCCATTTGCAATGCTGTGTTGCAAAACGATGACCAGTTTATGGAGTAGAAAATGAATTCTGAATGGCAAAGGCACTTTAACAAGAGGAAAATGTTATGCATCCTCTAAATGCTCAATGAAATATTTACCTGTGCTTTTAGATTGTCAAATTACTCCTCAAGCACTCCTGTAAAATATTCAAACATTACTTTCCCAGCCTATGGATGAAGGACACAAGCACAACACATCTTTATTATAATATGGAACTAGAAACCAAGCATCAAACAGAGGACTACTTATGCATTCTAAAAGTAGTAATTTGTGTTTCTTTCTAAAACCCTGTTTAATTTACAAATGATCATTCACCATAAAACAATTCCTGAGTGAATACAATATTGTTCACATTTAAGATGGATATCACATAAAATTAACATTTTGGCACATGTGGCAAAGACTAAATTGCAGATATATTATTGCCTCTTGCATTCTGAAAAATGACAGCCTAAATAGATGCGAAAACAGTACATGTTTTAAAACACATTTTCCCTCCAAATCATGGGGGAAGCTGGGCAGGCAGGGGGAATTGTTTTTATACAGCAAAAAGAATTGCAAAGGAGTACAAAATCCTCTCACTTTAAGGATGCCTTCCCCCACTGATGGATAATCTCTCTTTACTTGCTTACCCATTTTTCTGATTAAAAAAAGGACTTCCACATGTATGGGGGGAGGGCAGAATATTCAGAAGTACTTCTTAGCTACTGACTGTTAAACAAAATTTCAACTCACCATTGTGAACTGCCCACATGATTCGAAAAGCAGGACCACCAATCTCATCAAAAGGTTTTCTACGAGTTATCACTTCCCATAGAATAATACCCCAACTGAATACATCACATTTTTCACTGTAATTGCTACCTGGAAAAAAATGTTGATACAGTGTGTGTGGTTTTAGTTGCTGTATTCATTGATAGTAACAAAGTGACAATACTTTTTGGAGATGGGTTAGTTTACTGGTGTCACGGTAAATCAGGTTTACTCTGCACCAAAAAGTTTTCAATTGTAATCTAAAAAACTGTATTCATTTCTATCCCCCCAGTGTACAAAAAAGCTTGTACTGTTATAAATTATGTTCACATTATTTAAGCAGTTAAATGGAACCACAGCAACTAGCCCCCAAGCACCAATCAAAATATAAAACCCAAAATATATTTCAGCAATTTCAATTTTTTAAAACAAGTATGAGGGCCTGGGACAATTCAGGAGGGAAAATGGCCCGGGGGGGACTCTGCGCGGGGGGGGGGGGGGGCTTCCCAAAAACCCAGGCTCTCCAGCTAACAACAGCTTTATCTGGTGCCTGAACAGAGAAGGAACTAGATGAGCCTTCAAAGGCATGCAGTTCTACAGTTATAGATCAACCACTGAGAAAACTTTAGTCATAGACATCACAAATCTCGCTTCAGATTTACATTTTAAGGGGGGGAAAGGTATGACTGAATGTACCCTACAAAGCATCTTTTGCCTGACAGCATTTGTTCTTCAAAGCAAAATTCCACCACAGCTTACTATTAAATGAAATAATAATGCTTGCACAATGCACAGTAATATATTGTCTTAAATTGCAAAGCTACTCTGTTACCTTCAAATACCTCTGGTGCCATCCAAGCAGCACTTCCCTTATTGTTGGTCATGTGTGTCTGAATATCGCAAGCTGTACCAAAATCACAGATTTTTAAAACTGTCCCCCCTGCCACCAAGAGCAAACTGTTAAAGGAAAAAAAAAGTTTAGCAGATTTAAAACTATGTGATAGTTATTATACTAAAATATTAAGAAGTTTAGACAACAATCTAAGGTAACTTTGGCTTAATATCTAAAGATTTAAACATATAAACATTGTGAAAGGTATGTACAAATATTTATTCTTTCTAATCAACATGCTTCAATTTTAAATATTTATGGGTGAAAAGAATGATTAATAATATCAGTTATACATTCTACTCTGCATACATGAAGCATCCTTATACCCTTCAGTGCCTTACAGCCTTTTGTCTCCAGCATTTGGAGGGACGAGGTTTTGTTTCTCTCATATCCCTACTTTGCTGATTAACACCCTTTACATTGTCCTATTTATCTTAATAAGACATATGGAGAATTAACAATGATTTATCTTCATAACCCACCTTGCTTTTTCGTCTGTATAACTTCACCTCAATTCAGTTTCTTGGCCACATTAAAATGTGACAAAGAAACAGACCTAGGACTGTTTTATAAATAGTTCATCATTAAACAGCTTTATTATTTTTATACACATATATATTTAAAAAAATAAAGATTCTTAGTTATATTTTCATTAAGCTACATTGTCAACAGACTAGCACTCAGTATTTAAGCAACAAACACTTTATAGCCATATTTCTACAAAATGGAGAAATCTTCCAGAAGAATATTCTTTTATTAGCGATATTCCACTGCTCTGAGCTTTTACCAGCCACAGGCTAAAGAACTATGAGAGAAATCTTGATGTAACTAATAATATATTTTATTTTAAAAGACTACCATTTCATTACACATTGCCAATAAGTGCATGTTAAAAATTCAGTCCCACAATGTTATATGGGTCCACGGTTCATATTTCTGACATTGAATAGTTTAAATGAACACATGGTAGGGCTAATGACATGCATATTATCATATACTGAAATTGCTTACATCCCATCTAAAAAGCAGACACCATACATCAAAGTTCTCTCCAAGTGGAACAGAAAATAGGTTACTAGACCCCCTGAATGGCAATTTTTAGGGGAGAGGCTTATATAATTGCTGAAAACGTACTTTGGTGGTTTTAAGTCTCTGTGAATAAGAGCCTTCGGTTTCATGCTGTGAAGATATGCTACTCCTTGGGAACACTGTAAGCACCAACTCATTGCATGCGCAGCAGTGTAGTAAGGCAGAGGCTCAGCACCATGTAGGACTGAAAAACAAAGGTACAAACTAAAAAGAACTTACAGTAGATAAAACAACGGCAACACTACTTTTGTGAGCAATATGTGGAGTATGTAACAGAAACTCTTTGTTTCTAAAGGGCTTCTGAATTGGAAAGTCATCTAAGTGCATGTGAGGCCAACTGAACTGTAATCCAAATAACAAAACTACTGTCAACAACCATTTGTTTTCAGTGCAAAAAAGCAATTACTAGCAACACTGGACACAAAAATAAGGCCTATAGTCATATAAAGTGCACCACTTGTGTGAAAATTAGAAAGCCTTTCTTCTGACAACAGATATGCTTCCAAAGCATTAAGAGCCAAAAAGTGCCACTCACTGCATAAGACCTATTCATTGTTTGTGGTAAAGAGATAAACTGTTGCTTGCCATCAGTAGAATTCAACTTATATTTGCAATCCAGCTACTCAGTATCATTTTGGCAACATGACGAATGATGATCTGTGGAATGTGTGCTCATGATGAAACAATCGTAAAACCATTTTATCATAGCACACCTCTACATAGCTCACTGGCTGGACAACTTGGCTATTGGAACGGATCTGTATCAGCTAGAAGGACTTCAGAACTGCAGCTTACTATAATACTTGGCATAACCTTACACTAGCCTTCCATCTAGGGCTGCCAAGTGGGGGCGGGTAAACCCCCGCTTTGGAGGCCCGATTTCCGCCGCCGCGGAATCGGGCCCCGGGGGGAACCCCACCCCGGCGTGTGCGTCACCAGGAAGTGACGTGGCCCCGCCCACAGTGTCCTCCCGTCACTTCCTGGTGACGTGCGTGCGGCGCGCACGCTTTGCGCGCGCATGCACAAGACGCCAGCCGGGAGCCCCCCGCCCCCGGCGTAGATACACTTGGCAACCCTACTTCTAGCACTCTGGTTTTACAAGGCAGATGTTTGAGAATAAATCTGTAAATTTTGTAAACTGCATTGGCCAGGTTCATAAACTGCATTGGTCAAGTTATTTATTTTTCTAAACAAATAAATGCAGCCTCACACTTTGGGAAGAGTCTGCATGTCATTCAAGAGATACTCACCATTATAGAGAGAGCCTCCCTCAGCATATTCCATAACAAGACATACCTGAGTGGAAAGAGTAGTTTAAGTGAGAAAAACAACTTTTATAATGCACATTTCCTTTTTAAAATGTTCACAGGTAACATACTACATAAAAGTAGTCGAAACAGAACTATGCAACGTTTGGCATCACACATCCCCTGACCACAAGGCGCTGTCATCTTCAGTCAGCGCTAAAGTCATGATTATCTCGAGTCCCTCCCACAATTTTTTAAAAGTTTAAATCTTCAGTTTAAACACCAGTAAAATCAGATGACAGTTTATGACTGAGTCCCACAGCCAAAATCATACTGTGATTTCAATATCTTTTTTAAAAGGTACAACTTACTGGGTTTAGACAAGCTCCATATAACTTAACAATATTAGGATGGTTCACACGTGACAACTGTCGAAGCTGGAATAAAAGAGTCAGAATATAAAGGCCAAATACTTGGATATAACAGTCCGTTTCTTAGTCCCCCCATATAGGATTATAATCTACTACTATATAATCTGCTACTAGGTAATATTTGGCATGGAACTGGAAAAATAGTTGCAACACAGTACATGTCTCTGCTTCAGATGCAGCTGAGCATCACATACAACAACAACAGCCTACACAATGATGGCTTTTGATGCAAAGGACTTGAAACTATGGCCACTGTACTTTCCCTCTTCCAGGGCAACTTTTCACTGGTACACTGCAACAGTGACCCTTCCTATTCACAATGACATAAATAATAGATTGAATCCTAATCTGAGTTTTCTGCGTATGCCAGAGAACAGGAGGGGTGAGGTGACCACACATAGTGTTTAACTAGCAAGACTAGTCAAAATTTGATTTCAATGGACTTATGCCACAGTGACTCTGCAAAGAATTACAATATAATCAACATGAAGGAGATGTGTACTAGGACAAGGATTACTGAAATCTGAGTAAGCATCGTATTAAGAATGTTGAGCAAACTTGTATGCCTCATACAAAGTGGTATAATCCAAGTCTCCTTCCCTTTATAAAATGCCTCCCTGAACTATTCTGCTATAGTACAATCCTGTTATCTTTACAGAAAAGCTTTCGTGGAAACGTCGTTTTAATTTGCAAAATGACAAGACTGTGTGAACTTTCCGGTCCTCCTCAGCTGGAAATTCCACCAGGTGGGGGCCACAACCAAGAAAACACATATACAGGCAATTGTTTATCTTGCCTGTTAGCAGATGGCACCTGCAGAAGGTCGGGAACACAAGTGGAGTTGTCATGGTGGAACCTAGGAGGAAAGATGGCCCTGCAGATATAAGGGTCCAAGGCCATGCAGGACACTATACACAATAGTCAGTACCACAAACTGAACCCAGTAACTGATGGTCAGCAAATGGAGTGACTGAATAATGGGTGCAATGTGTGTGCCCTGTCTAGCTCCTGATAATAACCAAGCTGCGGCATTCTGTACTAACTGGAATCTCTGGGTTGGCTTCAAGGGCAGACCCACTAATCTTGGCGTTACCATGGAATGGATCCAGAGGAGATATACTCAAAGAGGTTTGAAGAATTTCAAAACCAGATCAAAGAAAGATGTAAGTACATGTTATGATATAACCAAATAGATATAAGCATCCTTACAAGTGTTTAGATTAATTAAAAGCAATTCTAATTAAGACTTTTTAAACTAAAAAGTAGCCTTTAGAGAAGATATTTATTTTGTATATTGCATTTTACACAGCCCCAACTATTGTGAGAACTCTTTTCACAGATCAAGGATCTATCTACCACATTTTTAGCCCTTCCTTCTTCTAAGGCAGCATACCTACTTCTTCCTTCCACATTTTTAAACAACTATATGTTACGATGAATGCGACAGGCCCAAGTTCAACCAGCAACAGAGATTTGAAGTGGATTTCCCAGATCCTAGTCCAATACCAACAATTCCATCAGATTATTTCTAGTTCATATTCTAAGAGAACTGACAAAAAAATAAGTGAGGGGCATGGTACTTCATAAAACTCCCACACAACATAAATACTATTATTCTGTCAAACAGGAAATTTGCCAGCATTTAAAAAAATGTAATGCAGCCCTGACCTGGATAGCCCAGGCACGCCTGACCTCATCAGGTCTTGGAAGCTAAGCAGGGCCGACCCTGGCAAGAATTTGGATGGGAGACCTCCAGAGAATACCAGGGCCGGGAGATCAGAGGCAGGCTATCAAGCCACTTCTCTGAATGTCCTCTGTGCCCCAGTAGGAGTCGCCAGAGGTCACCATGACTTCCAGGCACGGACACACACACACACACAAATGTAAAAACAAAACACCAAAAAATGTAATGCAAAACTGTACCTCTACAATGAAGGCTTTTCGTTCAGATTCACTTTCTATTTGCTTAATGGCCACATCTTTTCCTCGCCATTTTGCTTTGCATACCACGCCAAAGGCTCCTCTTCCAACAACCTGGATCAAAACAAGTATAACTTTGATATAAATATTTCACAAACAATTGACATGGTCCCAAAACATTATTCTATGACGATTTTTAGAAGAAAACAATGAAATTACACTGTTTAGGTTCTAGCACAGGCTTTTACAACTTGCAATTTACTAAACCAAAGATTACCACCCAATCAAAATGCTCAGTATGTGGACCCTTCATGAGGTCACAACTCCTTTTCCTCTCACATGACAGATGTCATGTGATTTTTCTGCCATACGATTTCAGCTCAATGAGTCCCGTGCTGTCTGTATGGATTAAAGGCAGACTTTGTGGTTGGAAAAAAAAATAATTTTAAATCATCAATATCCTACATGCAAATATCCTACCTTCCTCCACAACGACCATTCTGGAGAAATTAAAGGGATGCACTAGAGAAACAACAAGAATTGGACTAAACTTTCTCCATGTTCCTATTTGCTCCCGATTAGCCTTGCAACATGCTCTGTAAATAGCTGGGGGATTCGCGACCCTGCATCAGACCAAACATGGCACCATGGTGGACCAAATAATCAGGATCCCCTGCCACTGCCATTTGATGACCTGAAAATCAGCCTGAGCCTGAAGGATCAATGCTTTCCTTTCGATCAGCACAAACCATTGCCACCCAGATGGATCACTAGAACATGAGACAGATGACCAACCCTCCCTTTCCAGCAATAACTGCAACAGGGCAGGCCACTGCAAGCCGTGGTGCCCCAGCCACTCCACAGTGGCCCCACTGGCTGAGCCCCTACTGCGAGCCAATGGGCATCTGTTTTGCCCGGTGAGCAGACCAGAACACAACACTGTGCCCACAGATAAGAATTCTCTTCCTCTCCTGCTGGCCAACGTGACCTGAAACAAAAGAACAGTGAGCAACGGATGAAAATAATGCACAACATGGGGCACTGCAATAGCAAGCTCAAGGCCCAGTCATGGGGTGCAAACAGGATCTATAAGCCACAGAATACCAGCTACCCAAACGCTGGATATCTTGGGCTGGATACCCCATCACAGCACCAATACGGAAGGAGTGAGTGCAGAAATGCACTCCAGACAGCTCAAGCCTCCCCAGAGCATTGGAAGTGACCACTCAAAATTGGTGTTTAGCTAAGGATTTTGCATCCTGATGACGGAACAACACTCCACCCTCTAGCCCCCTGACAGCCAAGTAAGCAGCCAGTGCTGAGATCGGGCAAAGCTCCTTTTCTGAACATGCACCAAGCGTGACTACTGATTCCAACTGCCGTTGGAATGTATGCCTTGTCAGGCACCAGGCAAGCCTCCTGAACCATCAGTGCATGGCTGGACTCTTCAGACTTCGACTGGGCTGCCAGCTCACTTAACCGGAAGGCCCACCCCCCAAAAGGTGACTAGGGCAGCTGTGTGGAAGAAGCAGGCTTCAAAAGGGAACATACAGACATCCCTCTGAGCAGCCTGAAACCCCAAAGCACTGAGGGGGAGATGGGCCGCTGGAGGTCAGCATGCACCCCAGCTTCCTGTGTCCAGCGCTCTAACATCCTATGAATCCTAAAATCGCCCGCATGATCAATGAGCCTTCAGGCCTTGCTGGCATAATCCACAGCAGAGAGCAACCCTTTAATCGAGCTAATAGCTAAACCCTTACCTTTTAACATCATACAAAATGTAACAAATGGTCCACGGTACTGGCCATGAACTAGGATACTCTACCTCTTGTCTAAACTCAGCAAACTGGCAGACCACATGGTCATACGCCTGCTTCGTGCCTGGGGCAATGGCCCTGTTCCCCTCTGCCTTCCAACCAACCAGAGGTCTGGTGGCATTCTTACCAGCTGTAAATCAGCTTCTGGGGCCAGCTGCCAATACCTCTCCATCTGTTTATGAGAGAGAGTGTCAGCCACCCCCTGTCAAATCTGGATACATGTCTGGCAAGAAAAAAAAAAGTTAAGTTGGAGGCAGCAAAGGGTGAATGTTCGCACCAAGGCTGTAACCCGTGGCGATCTGGGTGTGAGAGAAGTAATGACAGCCAAGTTGTCACACCAAAAGTGGACCGTATAGTTAACCAACTCACTTCCCCATAGCCAAGCCGCCACCAGGATAGGTAAAAATTCAAGAAAGGTAAGGTCCTTGGTGATACCGGCCACCAGCCACTCAGCAGGCCATGACTGAATAATCCAATGCCTCTGGAAATAAACTCCAAAACCCAAGGAGCCAACAGCGTCAGAATGAAATGAAGCTCAGCTTCTAACTTCAGGTCCTCCCTCCAAAAAGGGTTTCAATTGAAGGAATCCAAAAACTCCAACCACATTTCCAAATATGCCCTGATGCCAGCAGTAATACGTGCCCTATGGTGGGGGATCCACAGACCACTCATGGCATTGCACCACTGGCCAGGTGCCACAACTTTGCATGCAAAGACAAGTTGCCCCACCAACTGCTGGAACTCACGCAAAGTGGCTTTCTTTGTCCCTTAAACTAACACTCAACTGCGCAAATCATCCAACTTACTAATGGGCAGCCATGAAGCTTGTGCCACTGTGTCCAGCTCCACTCCTAGGAATGTCAACACTGTCTTTTCATGCACAAAAGGCACATCCAACTCTCTGGTCATTTCCAGGAACGTGCTCAATAAATGCTCACATTGACCAGAGCCCAGAGAGCCCACAAACAAAAAGCCATCTAAATATTGAGCAACGGTGGCCAGTCCAGTGCAGGAGCATAGGGCCCACTTGAGAAATGAACTAAATCAAATGCAGCACAGGACACAGAACAGCTCTTGGGTAATGCCTGATCCTTTAAAACTATCCCGCAAAGGAAAATGTCAGAGTCCCACAGCAATCAGTCTCAACAACGTTCCTTCAGAAGGATCAAGTTTATTGAGTACAGTAAAGGCAGGTCATCTGTCCATACATTCAGTGTTAGATCTAACTACCAGGGTGGGAGAATGGTAGATTATACAGGGTTCAAAGTGGGGTCCCCTGATGGAATTATGCCAATCAGAGAACGAGCTGCAACGCACCTAAACTAATGGGTTCAGATTCCCAGCGAAGCAACAGGAATGAGGTAACAAGGTCAGGAGCCCAGTTAAGAGATAAGGCGCAGCAAAAGAAATGAAAGTTAACATTCTAGCACATTAAGATTTCACCCAGCGGCCTCCTGCCTTCCCCCCTTTACAATGACAGTGGAGCTGACATTCTGCCTCTACAAAGACCCTCCCCCACCAGGTTTATCAGGATACATTTTGTGAAAGGCACAAAGTTATTCAGGAGCGTTGATGTGGTATTCCTCAACCCACTCATTATGCGAGGGATCGAAATCCTTCCACTGCATCAGATACAGGATCCAGCCCCTTGTCACTTTTGAGTCCAAGATCTGGGCAACTTTGTAGTGCGGTTCACCATTCACCATCAGTGGAGGTGGGGCTAGAGGACGAGGTCTCCAAGCATTTGGCCTTCCCCGGGAAATGATGGAGGGTGAAACAGAACTTGGAGAAGAACTCCGCCCAGCAAAGCTGTTTTGCATTTAGGTTGTGGGGGGTGTGCAGCGCTTCCAGGTTTTTATGATCAGTCCATATTTTCATACTTTGAATGGAACCCGTGCTCCCCTCCAACCAGTGCCTCCAAGTAGTCAGAGCTAACTTGATGGCTGCAGCTTTCTTGTCCCAAACTGCCCAGTTCCTTTTGGTTGCACTGAACTTCTTAGAGACATACACTAGGGGACGGAGCTTCCCATCCACATCTTCCTGTAGAATGCCCCCCCAAAAAACAACACCTGAGGCATCGACCTCCACAATAAGTTTTTTATTTTCATCTGGATGGCTGAGAATTGGCTCGGACGTAAACGGCGCCTTAAGTCTGTCAAATGCCTCTTGACACTTAGCAGCCCACTCCAGGTGCGCACGAGGCTTAGTACTATCCTGCCCCTTTCCTTTAGTCTAACAAGTCTGTGAGGGGCAGGCTCACTTTTGAGCAACATTTCAGATAAAAGCCCAGTAGAAATTAGCAAATCCTAAGAAGTCTTGGAGTTGGCGCCAGGTTCTCACCCCAGTACATCTACCACTTTATGTGGATCCATCTCCAGTGCCCTAGGAGAGATGTGGTAGCCCAGGAAATCAACTTCAGTCTGGTGAAACTCACACTTTGACAACTTTGCAAACAGTTTGTGTGTGTAGAGGGTCTGCAAGACCTCACGCACCAATTTCACGTGCGATTCCTTATCTTGTGAATATAATAAGATATCATCTAAATAAATTAGGGCCCCTTTGAACAAGTGCTTGGGCAACCCATCATTAATTAAGTTCATGAACACTCCCAGGGCTCCCTGTAGCCTGAATGGCATCACCAAATATTCAAACTGGCCCAATAAAGTACTGAAGGCCGTTTTAGACTCTTCCCGCTCCCAGATGCGCACCCAGAAGCATGCATCTACTACATTAGGGGTGTGTCGCCTAATATTTTCCCCTTCACTGCCTTGGCTAGGAGGTCTTTGATTAAGGGCAGAGGGTAAGCGTTTGTAGCAGACACCGCATTCAGGCTGTGGAAGTTGGTGCACAGCCGTAGGCCCCTGTCCTCCTTCTTCTGGAAGAGAATGGGAGCCACGAACTGGGAAGAGGTGGGGCAGATAAAACCTCGCGCCAGGTTTTAGAGAGTAAACTTCCTCAACTCCTCTTTCTCGGTAGGGCTCATGGAATACAATTTCCCTTTTGGCAACTTATGTCCCGGCAAAATCTGAATAGCACAGTCCGTGTTACGGTGGAGGAGCAATTCGTCCACCTCTTCTTCCTCGAACACCCTGGCCAAGTCCCAATACTCGCGCGGTATGGAGTTTAACTCCTCTTGGGCCGGACAGGCATGGATTGGGATAGCTTGGGGCACCTCCCCCCACTCAGGTAACCACACATGGGCATTGCACCCAGAAGCCACAAAATTCAGTCTCCTCACTCCACTAGATATATGGGTTATGGCCACTGAGCCACGGGCTCCCTAGCACAATGGAAAAT